GTACTGGCCCATCAATGTTCACAGGAATTTTGCCATTCTGGCCAGCATAAGGCCGACCAAGATTGTTAGCTGGGTAGGTTGTACTCTCTGAACACCTCTGAACATAAAGGCATTATGTTCGTTTCTTGACTGAGATTGAACTGAAGTGATAACCACACCGAGTTTTCAACAGGAGAAAAAATGAACTCAAAGTCAGTCGACCACAATATTTATTATAAAAATAATCAGTGTGACTATAGTTTCGGTTCTACGGCCATCTTCAGACACAATTAAAAAGTGCCTAGAAAGATACAAGTTGCTTAAACATGCTATATTCCACGCAGAACATCGAATCTCACCCTCCCGGAGTTTATGCAACGATTCGTATAATTGTAATTGAATTGTTCAGATTGCCGATCAGATTCTTGTTGGTGTAGGTTACGCTTAGCTGACGGTCTTGGAACTGCTAGCTGCAGACAACACTATATTAAGGTGGGCCAGATGCCCGAAACCAGGCTGTTGGTGTCGAACGTTGACTTGGCTAAATCAAAATCAATCGACATTACGCAAAGAAACTTCGAGTTTCAAATTTATTTGACATTTCATTCCACTTGGAGCATTTTGGCTATTCTGTAGTTATTATACAGAGTGTTTCAGAATTCAGTACCGAGATTTCAGGTGCCTAATCTTCAGGTCAAATTAGGACTTTTTTTAACATTAGTCAGCGAAACGCTTGATTACCGATCTACAGAGCGTTGAAGTTTGAAGATTTTGAATTTTTCTCTCCATAGTTGTTTTTTTCGGTTTGAGAGATATTTACGGATCAAATATAGTATGCCGAGTGATTATAAGGAAATACAGTGAGATATTTCTCCAGGGGTCGAAACCCTTTTTATGCTACAAGAACTTTTTTGTTGAAGATTCCACACCAAACATTTTCGATCAATTCAAATCCTGTATTTCGTATCGTTACCATAGCAACTAAACAAATTTCTTGGAAATTTTTTCTTCCTCCTTGGGGGACAAAGCATGAAATTACACTAGAAATTTTTTGACGTTTATGGGTTAAATGACAATAACATTCAACTTCAGATTATTTCGAGTTCATTCTATGAGTCAATAAATATAAATTATTTATCAACAGTTTTCCATATAATATTATGTAGGTATACTTGCAAATTCGAAATTTACAAAATTATCAAAAATCGTCATTATCCAAGGAATTTTTTGATAATATTTCAGTGTGAAATTTTCTTACCGAAGGAGCTCTCGTGATATTATGAGTAAAAATTTCAATTGAATCTAGTGGAATTTGAAAAATTAGTTCAATCTGTTTCTGATTTAGGTCGCTAATGCGTGACAATTACGAGGGATGAAAAAGTTCATGAACAAAACAAATGACCCTTTCCGTATCTCAAAATCTAACATCTGCTCACCACGAATACATTTATGAAGCGAAAATGGACTTGAACCCTGAAAAAAACAATCTCACAGTTGTTTCTTACAATCACTCAATTTATGATGTGTACCCAAAAACGTAACCTAGATCTGAAGATTGATCTGAATTTCTAAAAAAAAAGAAGATAAATTGAAACTTCAACGCTTTGTGAATCGGTAACAAAGTCTGTTCAAACTCTTAGCACATATTTCTGTGGTATTAATGAGCTGATTTGAAGCAACTTACCTCAGACCAAAATTGCTCCGTTTCCGAGTTACAGTGTGGTGAAGTTGAGAAATACAATTCAAAGATTTTGAAATTCAAGAAAATTGTTTCTCGAATAACTTGAGAATTGGCAGTCTTGGGTTTTTTGGGATGCCAAACCCGAATACAGACACCTTTTCACTGTGGCCATTAGAGGGCACTTACTAATGCACTTCTTATGGTTTAGAATGATCATAACTCTTTTATTAGTGTGTTTTTCATCTTTTTCCGCTGTGAACGTGATCTTCTGTTCATTTTCAAGCAAAAAAGGTACCCTTGTGAGAATTCGCTGAAGTAAGCCATTTTCGAGATATTTCGGTTTTGAATGTTCGATGTCGCATCGGAATATTTGAATTATTTTGAAAAAATAATGTTCGCTGTTATCTTTGTGGATGTGATTTCTTCAATGAATGAGCAGTTCACAATGAATTCAATAAAAATACTTTCTTGGAGTTTACGCAAGTGTCACATACAAATATCCTTGTTCTTTAAGAATTTTCACTATTACTTGATTTTCAGCAGAAAAAAATGTTTCACTTGGGCTAGTTACAGAGAGTATTGCAGGAATTGAGTATGGATTTTTCTTGAATTGAATAAGTAACAATTCCATTTTGAGAGTGAATTTGATCATTATGAACCAAGAGTAGATGTTTGAAATTACCTCTGTTTACATGAGTGCAAAGATTAATGCGACGTAAAAAGTTGGAATGTACTGTTTGCATCAATTTCGCATCGTTCTTCAATATTCAATTCTTTTCCACAATTCCTCTACATTATTATCGGTCTGGAGTATACCATCGGTTTCAAATATCCCTATAAAAAATAATCTGAGGGAGTCAAATATGGTGAGCGTTGTGGCTAGTTTACAAGAGCGTCATTTCCTGTACCATCTGTTCGGATACTTTTGATGCAAATGATTCTGGAAACCACATTTCTTGTTAACGATAAAAAGACTAATCTTCTAATGAATCTGGCAGCGTATTTCGTGAATGTTTTAAATAATCCACACCATTTAGTCGTGACGGTAAAACTACAGGACCAATAATAAAATTGGCAATGACTCCTACCCACATATTCACTCTGAATTCATGTTGATGATGGTTCGTGGCATGCGGATTCTCATCAGCATATACATGTTCATTATGTACGTTAGTTAAACCACTTTTTGTAAAACATGCTTCGTCATTGAATATAATTTGCTTACTGAAATTCGCATTCCCTTGTCTTTGTTCGGTGATAAATCGACAGAAATCCAATCGTTGATCGAAATCCGGTACTAAAAGATCTTGTACTCTCTGGATATGGTATGGATGAAGTTGCTGTTCTTTCAAAGTTCAATGAACTACATTCTTGGATACTTCTACCTCTAAACCTATGCGTCTGGTGTTCAGTTTTGGATCTTCAGCGACTCTTTCCAGAATTTGTTCCTCAACCTCAGGAGTCCTCAATAACAGCAAATGTTTGATGATTTGGTAAGCGCCTATTTGTATATCTTCCACTCAGAAATTCAATCGTTGATCGAAATCCGGTACTAAAAGATCTTGTTCTCTCTGAATGGTATGGATGAAGGTGCTGTTCTTTCAAAGTTCAATGAACTATATTCTTGGATACCTCTCAACCGATGCGTATTCAGTTTTGGATCTTCAGCGACTCTTTCCAGAATTTGTTCCTCAACCTCAGGAGTCCTCAATAGCAGCAAATGTTTGATGATTTGGTTAGCGCCGATTTGAATATCTTTCCCAGTATACCCTAGGACTTCCGCAGCCATTTCCTTCATCATACCCAAAAACCTATAGCATATCCGTCATATCTGTGGAACTGTATTATTCAGTCACCTTAACAGTCAAATTGAAATATCACTCTTTCTAATGGAATATTTTCTTGAATATTATCATCGGTTTCTTCACTTTTTATTGACAATTCATTCCTGTTTTTCATTTGTCCCATTATGATAACAACAACAGTTGAGGAGTATCTTCGATATCCAACAATTACCAAGAAATGTCTCTTCAACATTTCTTCCCCTTGTGAAACTTCTTCACTCTACTCTCATTTTGCCTGGAGATTCTTGTTCAACCTTCCTCACATCCATTTTACAAATTTTCGTCACGGATATTCTGAATGTACCAGTCGATGTTAATACGAGCACGATTCATATCACTCCATCTTTTCCAGAAAAAACTTTAACGATCTCATCCAATGACCATGCATTTTTTTTTGGAAAGTGATATCGAGAATAATAACAATTTTTTTTAACGGATCTGTCTCTTCGAACCATTGATTTCTTTTATTCAGTACTACTTTTCGAACTTTTTGTTTCAATACAAGCTCAAAAATATTTAGGAAACCATTTCTTCGACAAGAATTTGCTGCCAAATTCATTAGACGATTTGCCATCACAACTTCGACAAGATCTGTGGTTAATGCATGACGGTGGTCAACAAAATTTTGCTTCGAATGTAAGCAATTATTTGCATCAACAGTATAAAAGGGAATGGATCGGTAGAGGAAATGAAGCTTTTGTAAACTGGCCGCCACGATCACCGGATTTGACTCCGTTGGATTATTTTTCATGTGGATCTCTGGAGACCATGGTATACCCTAGATAGATTAATGATGTAGAGGAATTGAAGGATAGTCTTCAAAATGCAATCAACATATTAGGAAACGATGCGGAGTTGATGCGAAGAGTACATTCAAACTTTCCACGTCGTCTGGAACAATAGTATTTGGAGTTATACCGGTAAAGAACATTCCTGAACCTGTTCCCCGAACATGTTACAAATACGAGGATTTTTGTATGTGATTCTCACATACACTCCAAGACAATATTTTCATGCGGCATCGAACATTGAAAACCGAAATACATCGAAAATGGCTCACTTCAGCGAATTTTTCCAGGAGTAACTATTTTTGTCAAAAATGAACAAAACATCACGATCGCAATAAAAAGAGGAAGAACCACACTAAGAAAAAAGTTATGACCATTCTAAATCATAAGAAGTGCATTAGTAAGCGCCTTCTGATAGCCACAGTGAGAAGAACCCAAGACTGCCAATTTCCATAGTTATTCGAGAAACAATTTCCTCAAACTCAAGATCATTGAAATCTAATTTTTCAACTTAACCACAATGTGACTTGAAAACGGGGCAATTTCGGACTGAAGTAAGTTGCTTCAAATCGGCCTATTTTGACCTCAGGAATATGTGCTAGGATTCTGTAGAGACCTTTGAGGGACACCCTGTATATGTGCGAGCTATAACACAGCATTCTCGCCCGAGGTATAGGAGGTACTATGTAGTCGAACTAAATTGCTTACCGGTTCAATCAGCAGAAACAGTTCATGTATATCAGGATCAGGAGGACTCAATCCATCTATCGCGTCAACATACGATTCGTCAGCATAAAGAAAATGTGGGAAAGATAGTAGTATTGGAGCACCTAGGAGAAAAAAAAAAAAACAGTTGTGAATTCAAAGAAATGGATTCCGCATATTTTGAATTATAGAGGGAATCATCGTTTGAGCATACAAGAGGACACTCCGAATGCAAGAGGTATAGGGTTTGTTCGAAACCACCAGAAAATTCCACCAGATGAAACAATATGAATATAGCTATGATATGAATCAATACCAATTTCGCTGATTCCAATGGAATATTCCATATATTTACGAAATGAAATCTTATATTCTTTTTCCAAAAATATGTTGGTTGTTGATTTTTGATTGAGCCGTTTCTTGTACCAAATGGCACAAGCCATCATGAATGACAATTAGATTTTGAGCTAAAACTCCAACTCACATGTACAGAAGGGCATATGCAGGAGGAACTCCTCAACTGTATGAAAACAATGCACCATCAACACATGACGCATCTTTCTTCTTCAGATATACTCTAGTTTAGACCTTTATAGCTGTGAAGTAAGGCATTATGAAGCTTGGCACTGATAAAAATCTTGGATTTTCAAACCTACAGAAAGGTATACAAGTCTTATCACCGTTTCGTGTTGAATATGTGTGAATATTATTGTGCCGTAGAACATCATTGGTTGAACTTCGTTTATATATGAATAGAAGACATTCAATGATATAACAGCAGGGTAACGGTGAAATTGATAGTTTCTATAATGGAGGTTCACAATGGGATCGAGCACTACCAAAACTAATAATGAATATTACTCTCTTTTGTACTACAAATACTTCCTCTTTGTTCTCAAAATTTTTATTATTGGTCCGTCAGTCAGTGTACCATGAAACAGGAAGAAGTAGGCAAACCTCAAGTATTTTGTGTCCAACTGAAACCTCAATTGTCTTATTCCAAATGTCGCTTCCGATAGACGTTAGCACAGATCGAGAGTGTGGTAGCTTAAATCCAACTTTGAGTGTTAGTACACACCTGGTTCACTGAGATTATTAGTCGTTGTGAAAATAAATTCATTTTGAGTTTTTGTTCCATTGAGAATCAGACAGTTGGTGCGAAACCAGTCTTTGGAGATGACTTCAGGCTCTTCTAGGTTAACGATTGTTTCTTGACTTGTGTTGCTATAGTGGCTATCTATGTTGCATCATCAACATAGAAGATTGGTTCCAAATTCTGAGGAAGATCGATGAGTAGATCTTTGAAATAAATTATGAAGAACAAGGGTTCAAGTACAGAGCCCTGGGATACACCATATTGCATTTTCAAATATGAAGAGATACGATTTTATGGAGTACCTCTAATGCCGTATCTTTCGAGTTTTAATAGTAGATAATCATGACAAACTGTGTCAAATGCTCTTGTTAGGTCATAAAAGCTAGCCGAGCTGATTGACTGATCATCAAAACTGTCCAATATTGGTGTCAGGCAGCTCATAGACTACCGCAAGAGTAGTCTGTCCAATTCTGTAACCAAACTCATTCACACAAAGCAATTTTTTTTTCTCGAAATAATTTCAAAGTCGTATCTTCAAAACAATTTCGGAGATCTTGCCTGTTACGGGTATTATGGAGATGGGTCTATAATTAGCTGATGAAATTTCTTCATCTCTTTTTTGAATTGGCGATACTCTTAATATCTCGAATTCATCTGGTAAAGAGTTTGCGACTGGATGATCTAGAACATAATAAACTTTTTTGAACAGATTTCCCAATTAGATTTTGTGTAACACTCTGGAAGAATTAGGCATACTCAACAACAGAGATACAACTTTCAGAAGGAGTCTTATTTTTTCCTATCCTGATATTTATAGTGTTTCGAGCTGTTTTTTGAATATTATCTGATTTTTATATTCTTTCAGTGTTTAGTGTGACATCGAAGAATGTCTGTGCAGCATCTAGTTCAGACTTCAGATATTTGAAGTTCGGAGTATTCAGAAAAATAGCAGGAATGAATATCTGACGAAGGGTTTAAAGGGTTTTTGATAAAATGAGCTTGATCTTGTGCACTTTGTGATGACAAAAATTCCAATATGTGATTAGAATTTCAGTCTTGAAATTGTCGATAGTTTGAAGATGCTTGCACATTATTCCTAGCCCTGGAGATTATGCCTTTATGATCAGATGAAAGAGATTCTACCACTTTTGAAACAAAAGTACCTGACTGCAAATATGTGAATAAGTTGTCGACTCTAGTTCTACCAGTTCCGGTCACTCTAGGTCAGTCAAAACTTGCTAGATAAGGTCATAGAATAAGAATATGTTCCTGAAATTCCTAACTGGGCCATCATTCGTCTCCTAAAGTGATGACTTTTGAGTTGAAGTTGAGCTTCTTTCTGAAAGTACATCTAATTCATTCAAGTGAAATTCGCTGTTGCCATTCATGGAACGGTAGGTACAGACAAAAAGTTCAATTTTCAGCAATCTTTCAACATGTTGATACGATATCAATATCAGTACACAGATCTTCAACATTCATTGGTTCAAGATATATGTAACATATGAAACAATTAAGAAAAGGTATGACGTCCATACACATAAAAATGAGTTCTACTTGAAGGTATTATTAAAGTAGGGTTTTGTCGTTGAAATAAATCATAATGACGTCATGAATCAAATAATTATGACGTCATAAAAGATATGAGTGTACCAAAAAGGGTACAACTGAAAAATGAAATCGACGTGTCTGAGCATTTTTCCCCACTGGCCGTATCGAGCAAAATCAAACTCGCGGCCGAATGACTTGTAATTTGGTCACCCAGTATATTTGTTGATGATGAGTCGAAAGATGCCATTGAATGGAATGAATGTATATATGATCACACAATATTTCACTCACACTTTGTATTTGAATAGCACCATTTAGTATATTATTTCATATTGAAGTTGAGCACATTATTGAAAATTCAAAATTCAATTTACTTTTTCAAACAAGTACAAAGATATGGTCGAAGAACTGTCAGAATGATAGCAGTGAAAGGAATATAGAACTGTAGATATCCAATAATGGAGTAATGACAATAACTTCGCATTGACGTTATCAAAAGAGACAGAAATTTTTGAACGTATTGAACAGTTGAAGTTATAGTTATTCCATTTTCATTCGATCTTAATTGTGTTCTATGAATAGAAAATAATGTTTGTATAAGGAACGAAACGCTACTCTGGTGATCAAGAACTGACTTTTTCAATGCAGCCGAGTTCAAAAAATAGTCGAGATCACAAAAGTATATCGCGCACCAGTTGCTGATAATTTTTTTCTAGGAACCGTAACAGTATTTTCAGGAATATAATAATACCATCACTCACCTACAGAGAACAACAAGATCGTCTGGTTTTTCGGTGTGAAGATTCTTTTTGTATCATTCCAACTAGATAGATCACAACGATAGATCGTTCAATTCACTTGATAGATATGGATCCTGTCCAGTAAACACATTTGTAATATTCACATACATATGCCATCAGTTCCATATAACGGATGTTCCATAACTTAATTGACGTCAATGTGCCGTGAATAGTAAATGAAAAACTAACATGATCTTATTTCTTTTGAATTCACAACAACATTACATATAACAGTGATATCACTTTATCATAACATTCCTACATACTTCAATTATATAACATCTTCGTGACTGTGATTATGTTCAGACAATATCTACGAAAATAGATCAATTTTGTATAAATTTATTCACATCAAATTTGTCTTCAACAAACGAACGTGACAACGACGAATCTGATTGCAGTATTTCTCGAGTTCTCACGAACGTACACGAACGATAGATAATCGAGCTCATCGAGCTGGACTCGTTCGAAGGTCGAAATCACGGTCGATAGGGGTCTGTCGTCTCGAGTTGGAAATAAAATGGCGTTAACATTGTTATGTTTGGTTGTGTTATTATTAGTGCCTTGAGAATCGAGCTTTCTGATTTTCAGTTATATGATGGGAACGTGGAATACTGTATTTTGGTCTTTTGAATGATATGTTTTCCTATACATATAACAAAAAAATAGGGTCCGTGAGGTAGATGGTGGTCGTTTACATATATCAGCAATTCAAGGTAGGTAAATTGTTTCATTAGGTATCAGCCAACTCAGATTGTTGTAGAAATTTAAGTACTGTTTTATGTCATTGTTTCAGATCACCAATATAAAATCCACGATATGAAGATCGAATAATATCGAGAGATGCTTGGCAGCAACTGGCAGCAACTACCCCGCACGAATTCGGAGTTCAAGAATCATATTAGTATGGCCAAAGAGCAGAATATGAAAGTAACAGACTCAACCTCTAGGAACCGAGCTAGGAACATTTATACTGTAGATTGGTATGATAGTTATCTTGCAACTAAATATATATATGATATATGATATAACTTGTATTACATAGAAGCTATACAGGGTGTCCGGCGATAAAACCGACAAAACTCATGGGGTTATAGGGACTGTCAATATGATTGCAAATTGTCATAAACGAATGTCCAAAACGGCTTCGTTACTGAGATACAGAGTGATTTGTGGATTTTGACAAAAAAATTCAATCCGACATATAAAATACAGGGATTAGCCGATTGGATTCGAATTTGGTACACGAATTACACTGAAAAGCGTCAACAAGTAGCCCTTTGATCGAAACCAATATCAGGACCGGAATAATATTTTTCCCCTATGTTGAGTTATTGTTAGGATAACTCACCCTGTATCATAATAACCAAAAATTTCAACTCAGATTTGCAATCTACGGTGAAAATTGTTGAAAAATCTCCTGGCAGCATCTTAGTTATTCCGTAATTAATTATCATTTTGATTTTTTCCATTGAAAAATCAATCATTGTCGGATAAAGGACGTATATTTACGAAACCATGACATGAATGTCGTTATTTCTTCGATCAGTTCATGAATCGGAGTAAAATGAAATATTCTCATAACCCGAAAAAACTGAAGAATAATTCGTTTCAGGACTGGAATGAGTATTTTGTTTGGTCATGTTAGCTGACCTAGTACATCAATAGTTATCAATAA